CCGAACTTGAAAATTGATTACGACAAATGGGAGATCGAAATTCATAACAATTTGCTTCTCCTCAATTCTTGTGCTTTCACAAAATCCGGCTAAGGTTTAAAATTAATTTTTATGAATTTAAGAACGCAGAAAGTAGGAAAATGTTCAAAAATCTGAATAAACGGCAGTGTTTGAAAACTTAGCTATCGCCTACCTATCGCTTACCTATCGCTTACCTATCGCTTACCTATCGCCTATCGCTAAACTTACCTATCGCTATTGATTTCCTCATTTTTTTTTTTGGTCTAAACGAGTTACAGTTATGAGTTCAACTCTATTTTTGTAAATCCTGGATAGCATTTAACTCAAAAAAACTTCATTCTGAACATGTTTACCTTGATCTAAACGCTTGTCAAACAAACGACAACAATTGGACAAATAAAGGCAATTCATGCACATCTGTTCTCTTTCAATTCAATTGTCACTCGTTTCTTTTTCCTTTCACATCACTTGTTCTTTTCTCCCACATTTCTTTGGAGAAAATAGTAAACAACCGATTTTATGTACCATCTTTCATTTATTGATGCGATTAGGTACGTAAATTGATCGAGAATCGATTGCTCTCTAGAGTGTTGTCTCTACTGTGTTGTCCTCATTTGTCAGTTTGTCAGTTTGTTCAAATTTCAAATCCCAATGCCCCTTTTCCCTCGATAGATCATTTGAGAACAAAGAAAAATGATGAACGTTCGACCCAGCGATAATTAATATTGAATGAGTGTTGTGCGGGGTGTGTATGAGACGCAATTCCGCCGATGTATTCGTGGATACTGGTTGTCAGGAAGAGGGAATTCGCTGAAAGAGAAAAGAAGGCGGTGTTCATTTTCCCTCTTTCTGTTCTCTTCCTTCCCCTCTTGAAGGGGAGGCTCTCGGTGTGCCCCCGTCCTTTTCCACCCTCAGCTGACTATCGATTGACGGCACTACCACTGTCGCACTCCCCTCTTATCCCTAGGCCACTTTATTTTATCTCCTTTATTGCTTTTTAAATGTTTTCTTCAGAATTTGACCTAAGATCTCTGTTAATAGTTTTCCCTTTTCCAATCGATTTCTCCCCAATTTGACCTAGATTTCGACAAAAATATTGTTGAGTCATCACCGTGCATTCTATCTTTCTCAATTTTATTTCTTTAAACTTGGCTAGTTAATTTTTTTTTCAGGAGCAATGTCGATCTCGACGATTCGGCGGCAAGTGAAGAACGTGGCCTACAACTTCTCCGATGCTCAAGTCAAAGTTCGAGAGGCTACAAGGTATAACTGTTTGAATTATTGTGGATCAGTTATGAAGCTTAAGCTTCCGGAATAACTCTTAATTAAGTAAATGGTTAGGTACTAAGGCAGTTGGGGGAGGGCACTTAAAACTTTCTCAAATGTAACTTTTCTAGGATAAATTGATGGTAAATTTAAATTGATAAATTGATCACGGAAAAAAACATTTTTAAGTTATACTTTCAATTAAAAATTTATGTACTGCCGTTATATTTGGTAGTTTGTGGCCCTTAAGAGGGCCGTTGGGTTGAGCTTGGTGCCAGGCGCCTACATTTTTCTAGGCTTTAGCTCCACACCTTAGAAACACGTCGTACCCAGGTTAGCCTGATTCTCCTACGGCTGAGGGGAGTTTTGTACAAGAAGCGCGTGGCTCTTATAAATTTACTAAAGTACCTTAGGATCAAAGCATCTCTGTTACGAAACTCACCTCAGTCGTAGGAGAATCAGGCTAGCCTGGGTACCACGTGGTTCTAAGGTGCGGAGCCAAAGCCTAGAAAAATGTAGACTCCTGACTAATACTCAACATAACGGCAATAAATAACTTTTTAATTGAAAACATAACTTAAAAATGTTTTTTTGGGGATCAGCGCCATCAACTACCTTAGAAAAACTACATTTGAGAAAAATTTAAGGGCTCTCCCAACTGCCTTAGTGCCAATGGCTAAAAAGAGGCGTCAGAACGTTTAGAGTGCTATATTGTGTTAATTTTTTTTTCTGTAGCAACGATCCGTGGGGCCCATCGACGGCGCTTATGTCGGAGATCGCCGACTTGACGAACAATCCGATGGCCTTCACCGAAATAATGAGTATTGTCTGGAAGCGGTGAGAAATTTATTCGGTGGATTAGTTTATTGTTCTTTTTTAGATTAAACGATCACGGGAAAAATTGGCGCCACGTCTACAAAAGCCTCGTCCTGCTCGACTTCCTGATTAAATGCGGCAATGAAAAAGTATGGTTGTAAATGCGACTCTTTGGTTTACGAATTACCTATTTTGCTTGTTTTAGGTTGCTCAGCAGTGCCGCGAGAACATATATTCGATCGAAACGCTGAAGGACTTTCAACACGTCGAGGACTATCGAGATCAAGGATTGAACATTCGAGAAAAGGCGAAGCAAATGGCCGCATTGTTGGCGGACGATGAGCGACTCAAGAATGAGCGAACACGCTTTATGCTCACGAGGAACAAGTAAGCATAAACTTTGTAATAGTAATAAATTAAGAAACTATGAAAGTAATAAGCTAATTTGATAATGATTTCTACTTTAGATTTCGACAAAATGGCGCGGGTGTCGGATCTGGAGGTGCGTACAAGACGTCAGGAACAGAGTGGGAGCAGAGGAGTTCGTAAGTTATTAAGTGTTCTTTCTGATTATAGTCTTGCTTTAGCACCAACCGAGTTTGACGATGCTCGTCCTTCATCGCTTGGAGAAGAAGAAATGCAACTACAGATCGCGCTAGCGTTGAGTCGGGAAGAAGCTGAGAAAGCGAGTGAGATGGAGAAAAGTGACGACATTCGGTTACAGGTATTTGTTAGTTGCGTTTTAATTAAATACAAAGTATCTGAAAGGAATGTACTCAAATATTTAAGATTTTCTTCTTTAGATGGCGCTCGAGGAAAGCAAACGAGATGCTGACGAGATGTCGAAGCGAACGATGGGAACGGTGAACTCTGGTCAACTCTCGCAGAGCGCTGTCGATGATCTTCTCTCATTGGGACTTGGCGATCTCGTGGTTTGTTTAAAGTAGTCAAAAGTTAATTCAATTCTTTTAGGTTAATGATCCAAATCAGCCAACAAGCTCAACGGCATGGGGTGGCACGCAAATCGCCGATCCGTGGGCTTCACCTCCACAATACAATAACACACCCGCGTATCCAACTTCAGGTGTGAATTAATCTGTTAGAACGATAATCTCTCTTGTTTTAGCTCAACTAGCGTTAAACGATCCATGGGCTCCATCGACTCCCCCAAGCACATGCTCCAGCCGCAACACTCGCGTCGAACGATCCATTTGCTGCCTGGGATGCTGGAGTGACGAATGGAACGAATGGAATGGAAACTCTGCAGGTTTGAGCGAAATACAAATATAGTGAATGCAGTGATACCACTTATTTAAACCACTCCTTCACTAATTGTTGTGATATATCTAGTTTCAATATTCTCACACGCCAACCACAATCCCATCGGCTCCAACTCATCCACCATCATCTCCTTCATTCAATGGTTATACGCATAACGCGAATGCAAACGTTGACTATAGTTATCTGAATTGGATGGTGAGATCTGTCCACACGGCTTCCCCCTTATTTGTCAACAAAAATTCTGTTTATGTGTTGATCAGTTCTACAACTTTCTATAACATTATGTATCTTTTTTATTTTAGCCAACTCCCGCCAATCAAACGCTCTCCAACAATGGTTTTTCGGCTTCGGCAATGAATGCTTCAAGGAAGACGCCCGAGAACTTTTGGGAGAAAACTCGAATCTCGTCAACTTGGACAATTTGCTTGGAATCACGAATACGAATTCTACTGGTAAGGATTTGTAAAAGAAGTAAATATGTAGTGAAGTTTTAATGATAAAACGTATAAAATATTTCGTTTAAGCTGTTTCAAATCCGTTCATGCTGGGCACAGCGACTCCTCCGCCATCGAATCCATTCAACGCTCAACGCAACAAGTCGCCAACACTCAACGAGATGCGAGCTGGTGCTCCGCCAATTCCACAGGTGAACTTTTACCCGTTAAAAGCACAAACCTAACTTTAGAATTAGCGCAATAAAGATAAATAAATTAGTCGTAGGATTACAGTTGACTTTAATATCATTATTGTTTAGGTTGGACCTCGAGTCGGTGCTTTACCTCAACCCCTTCAGCCATCGCAAACTCCGAATCCATTTGCCGGCATCTGAACATGATCGACAACTCCTCTCTTCAGAACTATTGTGTATTTTTATCGAGTCTAAGTCTTATATTATACTGTGAATGCAAAATTCCCCATATTTCACATACATGTTGTCTTTTTGGAAGTTTTCTCTCCAAATTGTTGTGCTCAAAGTGTTCCTTTTTGTCGCTAATACTATTTCTGATATTGTTTTCATCAATTTGCCTTCACATATTTTTTACGATTAACCCTAAAAGAGGGCATTTTTTCACTAAGAATTTACCAAAACGTTTTCCATTCTTAAATTTCATTGTGCAACGTGTAGCTGTTGGGAATTTCTATCTATCTTTGCTGTACTTTTGTTCAATTAACTGAAATTTGGCTTTTGAATGGAAAAGCCTCTAATTTAACCATTTTTGTGCTAAAACGAAATTTTTTTCATTCTAAGTGAAAGTGCCAACATGGAGCTTTTCTATAAAACGCGGCAGCTCTCTTTCTCTGCACTCCTCTTCCTTTTGCCCTTTTGAAATCCAAAAAAGACCGGAATTTTTGAACACAAAAGCTATAAATTCTTGTGTTTTTGTTAATTTGTAAAATTTTTACCAGTTTCACCATTACCCATTCTAAGCAAATACTTCCTTTTGTCAATTGTGTTTTTTTTCTTGGATTGTGAATGTGCTATGAAGGGTTTTTGTGGTAGATAAAGTCTTCTCATTTAATTGCGAATTTCCTTGATCAAAGTTTAACAGCTCGATTTTTATTTAAAGTTGACGGCAGATAGGAAATGATTTTATTGTTATTTTAGCGAAAATTGGATGGCGTATCGGGGGAACATGCGTGGAAGTCCAAACAACGGTCCTCATTTTGGGTAAGGTTTTGATACCTTTTTTGCAGAAGGCAACCGTGGTGTTGATGATCGTTTAAATTACAAGTGCTATTTGTAAAATTCGGAAGATTAGTGACCATCCTTGAGGCAAATGACACATTTTGAGGGTTGAACGGGCCGCTTTGGTTAACTAAACGTTTTCTTAGGAAACGAAAGACTTCCATTCATTCATTTATTAATGCTAAAAAGTTTGTTTCAGCTTAAAAAGATATTAAGCTCGACTAATTGTTTGATGATGAAACAAGATACTTTTGCAGTAGATGCTAAAATTACGTTGGACAAGAAATTAATTTCCTTTTTTTTAGACAAATTCTCGAGCAACAGAATGACAACAAAGTTGACGATTTGGCCACAAAAGTCTCTGCGCTTAAAAGGGTTAGTTTTGGTGTTTTTTTAAAATTTAATAATTTATTTTTAGATAACATTAGATATCGGCGAAGAGGTGCGGTCACAGAATCGATTATTGAATGACATGGACACTGAATTCGACTCTGGAAAGGTTGGGATGTTTGTGAAAAAGTTAACACAACGATTTGCCACTCTTAAAAATAGAGTTTGAACAAAACGAAGTTGTTAAACTCAGAAAAAAGTATCAGAGGCAGCTCGATTTTCTTTTTAAGAATATCGGAGTGACTAATCATGGTCTTAAACTACTTTAGTTGCGGTCTGCAATAAGTACAATGATCAATTTTAAAATATAACTAATAATAAAGGTTCATTATTAGAAAGTTTTGCAAAAAAAAATAGGCACTCTAATTATTTTGACTTGGTTGATTAATTTGTTTAGCTTTGCCTTGCAAAAGAAATTCAGGTCGATTACCAAGGTTCTAGTAAAGTTAGAATTGTATACATCAATCAAATAGACTTCATCGTTATAACTTTTTCCATTTCAGGGCCTTTTGCAAGGAGCGATGAGACGTTTGGGAATCGTTGGTCGAAGTGGTGGAAAGAATATGTTATTGTATCTCATTGGTTTCTCACTTTTTGTCTTCTTTGTCATTTATTGTCTAGCGAAAAGCGGGTAAAGTTTCCTTACAGCTTTATTTATGATACTTATCGGCTTATTTGAATCGTTTCCATTCAATCATGTAAATAGTTATACATTTATTCCTCTTTTCGCGATGAACCCATCTTTTTGGTGCAAATTTTAGCGTATTTTGTGGCGTTCTAATCGTTTTTCGAGATGCTGTCTGTGATGTGGGAATTCTCGTTGTTTTATTACTGGGTATTTGATGTTATTTGAGACAGTTTTATCAGTAAACTCACTATAATCAAGGTAGTAAAAGGATTTCAAGTTTATGCAACTCAAATCTGTGATTAGAAATTTCTAGCTCAGCATTAATTCCAAAAACATTTTTGCTTATGTTGCAAGAATTAAAAGTTGCTAATTGTAAGATTAATTCAGGAAAATATTTGCAAGAAAGTTTGCAAGTTTTTTCTTGAATTAATCTTATAATTAGCAACTTTTAATTCTTGCATTGGCCCATTCGGCTATGCCTAGAGTGCGTTTCTCTTTTTCTGCATTTTAAAAGGCGCTTATTTCCGAAAACTACTGTGGTCTTCTGCATCACAATCTTCTTACGACAGTTTTTCTGAAATAGGTGCATTTTAGAAAACGCTTTTATTCAAGAGAAACGGCGCCGTGAAACTTTTTATGGGTTTTGTACAGTCACCAAAAAGTTTTCGCAGTTTCCCCCCTTTTTCTCCATCATTGTCTAGATCGGTAGACATTTTCTTGAAAATTTCCTCAGCTTCTCCGTGATTCGCTTCTGGATTGGGTTGTCATGAAACGAGAGCGAAAAGCGCAATGTTTCCGGTATATACTGAAAAGTGTTACGGTATATACTGAAAAGTCAAATTTTGGAGTGTTATTTTAAAAACAATCGACAATGGAAATTAATGTGTTTTTCGTTTTACAATTAGAAATATCGGTTTAGAATTGATTGTGCTGAACGCAAAACCCCGATATATGACCAAGAATTGATTGTGTTCAATTGATTGCATTGATTTTGCGTATCGAATTTCTCATTGCTTATCGATTTTCCGCTTCGTTTATTCAAAACTCTTGAAACTCTTCGAACAATCCGGGAAGTGATTGGTGATTAGAGCAAAGAACGCACAACCCCGCACGTATGACCAAGAGCCGAAACGCAACGCGTCTGGCAAACGCGTCGCGTTCTCTCTATGTCTCTTTTCTTGATTGGGGACAACGGTGACGCAAGAAATTTTCTCATTTTTCCTGCTTTCAGTGATCGATTTTATCGATTGATTTCGGATATTTGTGTCCATTTTTAGGATTTCCCAATATATTTCCGTTTTTTCATCAATTTTTCTCGGCTTTTCAATTTGTGTGAATGCTTGTCCAGCTGTCAAATAGGCAAGAGTCAAATAGGCAACTTTCACACTTTTTTTTTCAATCTTTTCAGACAGAATAAGATTTTCAATTTTTAGAGGATAACTTTTTTTGAAAATCTCAATTTATTTTACTAGATTTACTAGTGAAAGCTACGAACTCAAGGTGAGTTTTTGTCTCGACTTTAAAGAAGCCGAAGTCTCTCTGTCTGGACTTTAAAGAAGCCGAAGTCTCTGTCTGGACCTAGTGTACTTTAAAGAACCCGAATTTACGCTATTAGTTCATAAAAATTAGCTTTTAAGAGGTTTTAAGGACTAAAATGGTGACGAAATGATATTTATTACTCCTTTGAAATCTAAAATTGAAACCTATCTATCATTTTTTGATATTTGAATGACAGTTCGTGTAGTAGAGTGTGTTCCTCGCGAGTAAGTAATTACTCGAGTAAATCTGCATGAGTAATTGTCGAATAATGCGTTTTCTAAAAAGTGCGCCTGCACGAAAAAGATATAAAAGTAATTTTTTGCGCAGGTTTTTCAAAGAATCATTTTTTACATTGGAAGGGAATTTCCCATCAAATCAGTTAAACGGAAAATTGTTTTGACAAAGAAATCAAAGAATTTTTTCTTATCATTTTGAAAAAAGGGAAGTGGAGAAGAAAATAACAAAAATAGAGGGAAATTGAGAGATCTTATAGAAGACAAAGAGCTCGTCGTGGCTGGTACATTGGGGGAAAGGGGGCACCGGGCAAGGGGTCACGTGAACCCAGAGATCCCCCTCCCCTCCCCTCCCTCTATTTTCGACTCCAGCAATATTATCGCCCTGTCCTCCCTGTGACTTTTATTTTCTATAGTGCGACCCAATTTTAGCTCTCCTGAATTCCCAAGTCCATACAGCTTCACCAAGCTCCTTAAAAACGCTGGAACTAATCGTTCCATCGTTCGAATCTTAGCCAAGGATCTTTTCTGAGGTTGATATTCAAGATTGAGTAGAAAACTCGAGTCAGCCAGCATCTGCAAGAGCTATAGTTTCAATTTCTTGTATTTCAACGAATATTTGAATTCCCTGCACTATTCAGACGATCATTTAGCCGTTGAACGGTTTAATTTTTGCTGAGAAAACGGAAATTTCATTCAACTAAAGTCCTGAAGTCGAAAATTTCTTGAAATCCCATAAATCTTTGCCAGAAATCGATCCCTATTCTTTTGCCTTTTTGGATCTGTGTGCGAAAGAGAACTGGAAACATCGACATAAAGCGATTCGAATCGTTTTCTCCCCTCAAAACACTCCAACACTTCACAATCGATTAAAGCGAAAATCAGCTGGAATCTTCGATTTTGATTTCTAGATTCTTTTGAGAGTTTCTTGGTAGGTTTTTAATAAAAGAAATTAAAGTAGAATTAGATGAATTCGATTTTTCATACATTTCCCTGTTTCCCTTTATAATATTTGTGTTTTCAATAATCCAAAACTATAAAAAAGATACTTTGAAACTTTTTGAGAAGCAAGATAATTTTATTTGCTTTTTTTCTCTGTAGAATTTATATTCTTAAATATCTTCTATCAATTCAAAGCGAATTAATAAAAGAAATTAAAGTAGAATTCGATTTCTCATACATTTCCCTGTTTCCCTGTATAATATTTGTGTTTTCAATAATCCAAAACTATACAAAAGATATTTGGAAACTTTTTTAGAAGCAAGATAATTTTATTTGCTTTTTTTTTCTGTAGTTTTCAGTAATCCAAAACAGTAGAATTCGATTTTTCATACATTTCCCTATTTCCCTGTATATTATTTGTGCTTTCAATAGTCCAAAACTATACAAAAGATACTTTTTGAGAAACAAGATAATTTTAGTTACTTTATTTTTCTCTAGAATTTATATTCTTAAATATCTTCTATCCATTCAAAGCCTCTTTTATAGATAGAAGGCTAAAAAGAGAACTTTTAAAGTCTTTGGAAAACTTCAAAAAATTTGTTGTCAATTTTTTGGATAGCTTTCTGAAAATCCAAATTTTCAGAGCTCTCAACTCGTTCTTTGCTATAAGTGTCCCCTTCCACGAGATGTCTTTCTCTCAAGCGGATGCTCCCTACGAGGTATTATTAATAAAATTCATAAAAATTACATATTCAATCCACAAATTCCATCAATTTTTACTTTCAGTGGTCCCCTGAAATCTTCGAGTATTACCAGTACGAGCCTCTCGACTCAATCTCTTCTTGGAGTGGCACAGACTACTCTCCTTCTACCACCTACTCTACAGTAAGTACAGCAAAGCAAAGCAAAGCAAAAGCAAAGTACAGCAAAAGTCCAGAAATGAAAGCTTTCCCTTTAATCAGAGCTTTAAAGCTTTTACAAAGAAACTAGAAGGAATTAAGTATTTCAGAAGACGAGTGTTTCTAAATTGGAACGCACAAAAGACATTGTAAACATTGATACAATCAATTTTTCAGCTCTGCCAGTGCTGTGTTTGTTGACCGAACGGGTTCCTCGACTCAGCCAGACTCTCTCAGAAATGATTCCTTCTATGTAACTCCGTCAATCCCATCAACTCCATCAATCCCATCACTGACCCCAACGACTCCTTTCATCTACAATCAATCAATTCAACAATATGGCATCAATCAATCGAATCCCCAAAATGAGCTCAATCAATCATCTTCTTATTTGTTAGGGCTGAATTCACATCTCGATTCATCCATCTATCCACCGCAAAATCTATCCACAAAAGTAAGTATGGATTTAAATGGAGATCTTCTATTGAAAACTGTTCTTTCCACTTATCACTTAAATGGAGATCTCCTATTGAAAACTGTTCTTTCCACTTATCCTGGAATGCAGAAAGAAATTTTTTAACCCATCTGGATATCACGATAGACTATAGACTTGCTAAAATCTTCATTCCCCCCATTTTCAGACCGACGACCGCTTCTCTTTTTCAACTTTCGAGTCTGTACAGGCTGCCAATGGTTTCCCCACTTTTCCAAATTCTCAATCAAGCAATCCTGGGAAACAGGTAACAATATAGAAATAGAATTAGATGTTAAATGACTTATTTTCAGTTCCCCCTTCTTGAGGACATTGAAATGTTTCTTGAAGAAGAAAAAAGATCGAAATCCGAGGAAAGGAATACCACGCCAAGTTCGGTAGGCATTTCAAGGGGCATTTCAAATCATTTCGATATTTATAATATGGAAAATGTCCCGTTTACTAAGAGAATACGCTGAATTCAGGATTATTCGTCATCCTCTGATGAGATTCTCATTCAAGATGGTGATGGTCGAATGCCGAAAAGAAGAGAAAAGAAAAAAGTGAGTGAAAAGAGCTCTAGACGATCAATCAAATCAAAAATCGTTTTTTTTTTGATGAACTTTATCGTAGGAAAGTTCCTAATAAGGCATTGAACTTTTCATCTTTTCATTTAATGATAAAAAGTTTTTTGAGAAATCAAATGATTGACCTTTTAGCAACAAAACCGTGAAGCAGCCACTCGATACAGAGAAAAGAAAAGGAAAGAGAGACAAGAAGCCAAACAAAAAGAAGATGTGCTCAGACAGCAAAATGAAGTTTTGAAGATAAAGGTGACGAGAATTTAAAGGAAATGATTGAGAGGCATTGTTGGAATGATACAGACTGGCCGAGAAGTTCTGTCCATCATTCAAAGCTTCTAAGAGTGTAAGAACCTCTAGTTTTATGAGTACGCAATTTTAAGCTGTACTCTAAACATAAAGGTACGTTAATGTTGATCGCAAAACTTTTCAAGCTTTATTTCTTGAGAGTATCAATTTCTGTCGCAGGGGAGGTTTTTAGAATTTCTTTTCTAAGCTTTTCTAGTCCTGAAGGGCTGAAGAGCAAAGTTATGTAGGTCACAAGAAAGAAGAAAGTTTTTTCTTTTCTTTAAAACCTTCCCTTACACAGCTAGATTGCTCTTAAATTAAACGATTTTGATAAGCTTAGATAAGTTTATCAAGGGAATTATGAGGTAAACGATGCTTAGTCAAGCTTATCAAGGGAGTTATGAGGTTGAGGTAAACGATGCTTAGTCAAGCTTATCAAAGGAATTATGAGGTACCCTAAAATCAGAATGAATGCGCATTAAAATATGCTTTTTAAACAGAAAAAGCTTCGCAAAAACAACGATGTATAGAGTAAAAATAGACTAGATTTCTAGAATTTGAAGTCCATTCTTTTGTAATCTTTACACTTTCCTACTATCTTACTTTACTTTCTTACTATCTTACTATCTTATCTTTACACTTTCTTACTATCTTATTTTACACTTTCTTTAAAGCCTTCCCTTACACAGCTAGATTGCTCTTAAAATAAACGATTTTGATAAGGTTAAAAAAACGATGCTTAGTATCTTTACATTGTGGTATCTTTACACTAACTTGCTTAGTATCTTTACATTAACTTTTCAGCTATAAAGTATTCGATAAGACAGTCTAAAGTCTTTTGTAGAACTCAAAAAGTTTAGCAACAAACTTAATGTTATTTTTTCGATTATTGTAGGATTATTCTAGCGTTTTACTGTACTGTAGATTACTTTTTGAAGGTTACTATAGCTTTGAAAGCAGCATCTATAGCTTAAATTCGAAATGAAGGTTACTATAGCTTTGATAGCAGCATCTATAGCTTAAATTCGAAACCATCTAAGCGACAAAATTTCGTCAAAATTTTAGTTTTGTGCATTCCAATTAGACAAATTCGATGAATTCGGAATTTTTTTTTGCAGAAAAAAAGCAAAAGAATTCTTTCAACTCAAAAATTTGGTTTTCATTCTTGATTCTTGACTCATCCATATTCTTAAAATCCTTTAATTCAAAGGATTATCCTTTTTTGAAATAAATAATCTTGAAAATCTTGAAATCTTGAAAATCTTTTTAAATTAAAAAAATTTTTTTTTGAAACTACAAATGCTGAAAAAATTTGAGTCATATTTATTGAGCTAATCTGATGAATGAAAAGTTGTGAGCGATGAGATTTTTGACCTCAAAACTCTCAAAACGAGAAACATGCATTCCAGATCGGCGAAATTCAAACAGAGATCGACTACCTGAAGCGGTTGATGCATGAAATCGGCATGGACGACGAGCACATCAAATACATCTCACCCGTTGTTCCCCTATAAAATGTGATGTGATTTTTCGCAATCCTGGGCTACACACAAGTGTTTTCAAGCGAAAAAAAGATGGCTTTTGAACTTTTCAATATTTTCGAGTAGCTGGACGAGTTTAGCTGAATATCTTTTGAAAGGTTATTGCTTTTTAAAAACTAATCAGTTTTTCAGTCATCCTGGGATGCACAAGAGAAATTTTGAAATCTTTTATAGTCATCTTTTTATTGCTCGGAGTTTTTGTCGATCAGAACAAACATTGGGTAATGCATTCAATCCAAAATTTGCGCTTTCCTCTTTCCGCGATTCAAGCTCAATTTCCCCATTCAATGCCCTCCAGAAGTCATAAAATTTTCGGAGTCACATTGAAATTTGCGAATTAACCGATATAAATTCGGTGCTTCTCATTTCATGCCATATTTTTTTTTGATTCGATTGATTGAAGCATTTCTTTTTTTATTCAAAATCTTTAGTGACATCCAGTTTTTATAAAACTTCACTCAAACTTTGTTTTTTCAACCTTTCCCTTCAAAATTTTGACAACAACTCAAATTTCCCTTATCTCGATTGACCTGGGCTGACCGGTGTGTAGAATTATCCATTTTTCTTTTTTCTTTTTCATTTTCAATCATTCCCTGCAAATTTTTGATATTCGTGATATTGATTTATCTAGTGCAAGAAATAAAACGTAAAAAAGCGATACCGGTAAGGGAAAAGACACTGAAAAAAGAAAAATTTACAAATTTGAATTTTGACTTTTTAACAATCGCCAAGTTGAAGATCCCTGAGCAATTTCGCAGCAGCTTCTTTACCCTGAAAGTTTTTCTTTTCAATTTTGCTGTTGTGAAAACTGATAAGGGAATGTTTCAAAGTTAAGGTGATCGTTTGGGATCAGTGATATCACATTCGATAGATCTCATCATGAATGTTGATGACCAAAAAATTGATTCATTAAAGAGTTACAAGCGCCACAAAGGAGGGGTCAAAAAAACGTCTATTCTGCTCCTTGTCGGCCTCATTTATCGTTGTAGAGAGTTGGTTTCGGGAGCTAATTTTTTGATCATCAATTTTCATCATGGAATCTATCGAATGAGGTATGACTTATCGATTAGATTTATCTAGAATACCGATTAGATTTATCTAGAATACCGATTAGATTTATCTAGAATACCGATTAGATTTATCTAGAATACCGATTAGATTTATCTAGAATACCGATTAGATTTATCTAGAATACCAATTAGCCAAGCTAATCCAGGCACTCAGCCACCCATTTACTATAAAGATATCTTCCTTAATCTACCGTAACCCTATCATCTCGATCTTTTCCCATCCATCATATCATATCGATCTTTTTACCTTATCATCCACTGCATTCCTCGTCGTTGTGTGCACAGCTTTCTTGAGGTAGAATTTGCTTTCCTCAATTGAACCCTGTTCTTTCAAACATGCGCCTAAGTAGTAGAGATTTGAGGCAGAGAAGGATTCCTGTAAGATTCCTGTAAGATTTCTGTAAGATTTCTGTAAGATTTCTGTAAGAAAAATTGAGCTTTAACGCTAAACTGATAGAATTTCTTAGAATCTATTAGGTTGGCAAAAAAGAAATGCGCGTTTTCGTTAAAAGTTTATTTTATTATAAAAACAAGATAACAATACATTAATCCAAAAGGTATTCGCCATCTGCATCAATGACTTGTCGCCAACGTTCACGCAGAGAATGGATGCCCTTCTTGAAGAACTCGACCGGCTGCGACTCGAAGAAGTTGGACACCCAAATTTGGACCTCGTCGCCGTTCTTGAACTTTTTCTCGGCCAAGGAGTGGCGCATTGATCGGAACAGATGGTAGTCGGAAGGCGCCAAGTCTGGGCTGTATGGCGGATGAGGCAGGACTTCCCAGCCCATTTCTTCAATTTTCTGCTGGGTGATTTTTGCGACATGCGGCCGAGCGTTGTCGTGAAGGAATTTTGTCGACGCCGTATCCACACCTTGACGTCGCAGCGCCTGGTCCACGCGGTCCAATTGGCCTTGGTAGAGGTTCGCCGTAACTGTTTGACCCGAATCCAGAACCTCAAAGTACACCAGGCCTTTACTGTTCCACCAAACACAAAGCATCACCTTTTTTCCGTGGATGTCCGGTTTTGGAGCTTCACCGGGGTCCAACCACTGCCGCTTTCTTGCTGTGTTGTCGTATTGGATCCACTTCTCATCCGACGTAACAATGGAGTCGAAAAACCCACTGTTCTTGGCGCGGTGAGTGAGAATTCCGGCGATTGCGATGCGTGTCGCCTTGTTTGCGTCGGATAGCTTATGCGGTACCCATTTTCCGCATCTATTCGTCTTGCCCATCCCATGCAGATGGTTCTCAATGGTGACATGAGTGCAGCCGAACTGTTCTGCCAGGTCGCGAGTGGTTTGGCGTGGATCCGACTCAATGGCTTCCTTCAATGCGCCGTTGTCGATGATTTGAGGTCGACTCCCGTGTTTTTGGTCTTCCAAGCTTTCGTCGCCGTCTCGGAAGCGCTGGAACCATCGTTTACACTGACTTTCGGATAGAGCATCTTCGTCAAACACTTGAGATAGAGCGCCATGAGCTTCAGCAGCCGATTTGCCTTGCTTAAATTCATGCCACAAGCAGGCCCGCAAACGAAATTTTTGGTCCGACATTTTCTAAACACTCTTTCTTGCAAAAAAACAAAGTAAACATAGACAAATTATATATCAAACGATGCGCAAGAACACGCTCTTTCCAATAGAATAAACTATTTAAAAAAATCTTTTACTGTGAATAAAATACAAATCAACAAACACGACGCTCATTTCTTTTTTGCCAACCTAATAGATATTCCTGAGAAATCTTGATCTTAAAATACAATTCTTAAAATTCCATCCTTTTAACCTACCTTTATACTTTCAGCTTTCTGAAAGCAGTGAAGCGCCTCATCATAGAATTTTTGAGAAAAACAACGAACTCCTGAAAAATTTTAAAGTCATCTCTGAGATCTCAATTCTTTTTACCTAACATATGCCATGCGTATGGATCATTTGGATTTGCATGAATCGCTCGACTAAGCATCTCGTCGACCACACGAGCCTTGTCACCCATTGCTAAAGCTTTAAGTAATCTTCAAAGCTTAGAATCTAGATATCCAACTATTCTGGACCTCACAGACTCACAGGGTAACAGATGCTTGTAGCAGTGGAAGCGGGAGATTTGTGCGGGCGCCAGTGTGCTGGAGTTGGGTTTTGCGGGGATGCGATGAAGGTATCGAGATTTTGAGTTGATATTCATCGATGCTGGATGTCACTTATATAGGGTAGCCGCTTTCGAAGCCCCACCCCAATCTGATCCATCCTTCACTCCTCCCCAATCTGATCCATCCTCCACTTCTCCCCAATTATCTCCAGACTGACGCATCCTTTCTCTAATCTTCTCTTTTAGTGTTTCTTTTGATGTTTTTCCATTTTTTGGGCTCCAAATGAATCTCCGGATTATCTCGTCTTTCAATTCCATGTGATTGACTCAAAAAAAAAACTTTCGAAGTCAATGCTCTATTTGCTGCGTAGGTTCAACAAATAATATTGGTTTTATAAAATGGAATTGAATTGAATGAATAGTTATTTTTAGATAATTGAAAGAAATCATAGTTCAAAGTGAATTGGGGAATGGAAAAGAAAGGTGAATTTAAGCACTATCTTCAAATCGTTAAACTATCGTTAGCCATTATTCATCTTTCTAATCAGAACAGATTCATTTAGACGAGAACAGAAAATGGTGATTGATGATTTGAAACAAATTTGAATGTAAAATTTATTCTTTCAAACGATCAATCCTGTTCCAAAACACGTGCTTTCACATTCATTTTTAGTCCCAAATCGATTCCCATTTCCTTCACATCCTCCATAAACAAATTCAAATTCTTTGCATTCTTTGGCTGCATTATCAGCTTGGCATTATCAGTTCTAGATGTGAAAAATTGTTAAAACCAAAGTTAAATCTTACAAGCACATTCCCGATTCTTTGCTCAGCACTTCAAATGATGCGAGATCTTTGTTATTATATTGTATGTTTTTTGCCCATTTTATTGGTAAAAGAGTGCTTCTCTCATAGAAAATCTTCGATTTTAACGTAAATCAATCTGTCAGCCATTTTTTGGGCTCCTCTTTTGAATCAAAGTGTTTGCCAAATCATTGCTCATCGCCCAGAATCAGTAGAGGGTGCAGAGCTGTATACTGGATGGGGGAACCTTTCATCCAAGTGAGATCAGTGGAGAACGAGTCATTCTCAAAAGATGTGGACTAGCATTATCATGTTGATGAATGATGAAAGATTTCGCTGACTTATCAAGTTGCTCCGAGTATTTGATTAAGTTGAATGTTGTCTTGCTATCCAAAATTTCCCAGTAGGTAGGCTCTTCCAAAGCTGAGAACGCCGAAAGCATGCACATTTGGCTCGACGTCGGGTTCGGGCTTTTCCCCCATGGAGATCAGTGTAGAACGAGTCATCTTCGAAAGATGTGGACGGCAAACAAATTTCTTGACAAAGGTTTAAAGCTTACAAAATTACGAAGATCTGCTATTAGATAAAAATTGAAACTTTTAATGTTGTTCTTAAAGTCACTTTAAGCAAATTTAGTGGCATTTTTCACTAAATTTTTCCGTGACAGGCTACCCTATATAAGTGACATCCAGCATCGATGAATATCAACTCAAAATCTCGATACCTTCATCGAATCCCCGCAAAACCAATCCCAACTCCAGCACACTGGCGCCCGCACAAATCTCCCGCTTCCACTGCTACAAACATCTGTTACCCTGTGAGTCTGTGAGGTCCAGAATAGCTGAGTATCTAGATTCTAAGATATTCTATCAGATTGAAGATTACACAAAGCTTTAATTCAAGTTAAAAGTGCTCGATATCTTTAGAAAGACAGTGTAAAAATCTCTGGAAAAACTGTGGGTATGATTTGGAATGTTTTTTTCAAATTAAATCCCACAAATGTAAAGAAATATG